TCATTCATATTATAACTCAGAATGCACAAAATGTATATCATTTAAAGAATTATCTAATCGTTGCCACATGTTCTATTCAAATACTATAATAAAGCTAGAACATATAAAATAAAAGAAATTAAGAAAACAAAACAAAAAAGAAATAGTTTTTTCACAGACGATTGAGTATTTCTCATTTAATTAATTCAGTTCTCACTTCACGAGAAGGCAAAAATAGATAAAAACTCAAAATATCTATATTAAAAATTACGAAGTAAATCTCAAACGCTTATTTCCTCGAAAACATTCCAGAAAGGATTAAGCATGATTTGATTGGAAATAATAAATGAAGGCGTTATCTTTGTTGTTGCGAAGCTAAGTTTCTCTAGATTGGCAACAAATCCACTAGTCTCCTGTTTCAAATGTAAACATCAATTCCCGCCATTAAAAACAGGCTTAGCGGCAATTAAACAACTTTAAAATTGCTGATAATTCTAAAAATATTGCACACAGATTTAGAAGGCATAAAATCCTTAACCGGAAGATAAAAACAACCTAATTAAATCATTTTTAAAGCAAAACATGTACAATTTACAAACATATAAGACTAAAGAAACTGAGATCACTGAGCCGGGAAATAGAGTAGATATATATATAAATATATTTATATACGTTTGGTGCGGCCGATTGCAACCAAAATGCAAGGTGCACATCTACATTTTATAGCAGTCCTATATACAAAATTTCAACGTTCTGAGGCTACTCGTTTTTGAGTTATGCGCGATACGTACGTACGCACGCACGTACGTACATACGTTCGTACAGACGCCACGAAAAATTTCCTTCAGAATTAATTTTAAAGCAGGTTTATAATTTTTTTGAAGGAAAAGAGTATTTTATTCTGTCCTTACGTACAGATATCACGCAAAAACATCGTTAAATTGCATTCGATAGCGGTCAAAACGGATATTTTCGTTGAAATATGCTGCCTGAAACTTTTCGCGATTACAATATTTCCTTTTTACTTCGTACAAGGAAGTAAAAAACAGTTTTTCACGGACGATTGAGTATTTCTCATTCAATTAATTCAGTTCTCACTTCGCGACAAGGCAAAAATACATAAAAACTCAAAATATATGTATTAAATTTACGAAGTAAATCTTAAACACTTATTTCCTCGAAAAAATTCCAGAAAGGATTAAGCATGATTTAATTCGCAATAATAAATAAAGGCGTTATCTTTCTTGTTGCGAAGCTAAGTTTCTCTAGATTGGCAGCAAATCCACTAGTCCGCTGTTTCAAATGTAAACAAGCCATGGCCTCCATCAAAAAAATTATTAGGCTTAGCGGCACTGAAACAGCTTTAAAATTGTGGATAATTCTAAAAATATTGCATACATATTTACTAAATGCATAAAAACCTTAACCGGAAGATAAGAAAAAAAAATTCAATCAGTTTTAAAGCAAAAAATGTACAATTTACAAACATATAAGAGTAAAGAACCTGAGATCGCTAAGTCGGGTAACAGACTGGATATATAACGTTTGTACTGCTGTATTTCCCCGTGCAATGCAGCGCGAGATAACTTTTAAGAGAAAGCTACCCCGGGAAAGTAAAAAAACTACAGAGGCATGGGCTTTTAACATTGAAGAAATGGGTATTTACGTAATTTGCATTGAAATTGAATAAATGCAATTGACCACTATGCCAGCTGAAACCGTAATCTCATCCTATTATTGCTTTCCAAAAGTCTCGAGAAGCAGGAATTACTAGAAAAATCTCGCGACCGATTGAAGCTATAAAAGCTGGAGAGAGAGCATCTGATTGCAGCTCCTTAGTTATTGTTATGGTGAGTTGTTTAGTTCCGCGTGAACTAAGGTATCTGAAGTAATTTTCTCTTTAGATACGCTTTGCATTGCCTTATATTTTAACGTATATTTAACGTTATTGCATTATACTTTAACGTAGTTTGAAGTATAACTACTGATTATACTGCGTGATATTGTGAACAAGTGTACGAATATCTTAGAGGAAAATTCCAGCGTTCTGATGTATATTTCTTTTGATAAGAATAAATTTTATTAACCTCTACTATCGGACTTGTGCATCCAATCTCTTTCGAACACATACGCACGTTAAGAATGTATACAACTATCAGCATTAATTTGTAATTATGCACAATTGAGGCAAAGCTTTTGCTGAAGAAGATAAAGGACTCATTCACATACTGGACAGCTGTTTAAATTATGGCTCATAAGATTTTACACACGTTTTCTTCAAAGCAATGATCCTAGGAAAATCCTTGTCTTCTGGATTGCAATTTCCAATTTGCAAGGCACAATAGTGTCCTTACAGATGAACAGCTGCATCAAGACGATGGAATAACGATCGTGCTATTGTTGCATATTTAATTAAAGGCTAGAGTTTAAACGTCTAATCTTTAGAATATGGTAACAGGTAGTTTGGCGACACTTTGGTAAGGCGATAAAGGTTACTAGCTAGGACTTTAGCAATAATCTAAGAAGTACACAGTTCGAATCACAGATTATGTTGTCTCAGAGAAATGAGAGAGTATGAGACATGTAATGTGACATTTTCCGGAAAATTCCGATCGTGATTTTAGCTAATAAGCACTTAGAAACAATTTAAAGTGCAGAATCGCCCACTTATTTGTTTGGCGCTTTCAAAGAAGAATTGGATTTTTGTCAATTGTCTTTGACTTTTTAAGTGAAAATAGGTCGATGTGTACATAGATAAAGCCAACAGTGTGCGCAATGCCATTTTTGTGCAATTCTGGGATTTTTTTTCAGTGAAAATAGGTCGACGTGTACATGGATACCGTGTATGTGCAATTCTTAAAAACGCGGCAAGCAGTTTGCGATTCTGCACTTTCTCCCAATTTCGAACCTAATCTTCGTCATGATTAAGCATTTTTGTTCCATAAAAGTTCTAGTATAATCGTAATTCGGCTAGCATATTGTTGGAAAAAATGTTGAGTAAAAAAAAAAAAAAAAAAAAAAAAAAACATGCCTTTACTTCGTGAAAACAAAATGGCGTCCAAAACAAAACTAGCAGGTTGCTGTAACATGATTGGTCGCCAAATTTTCGCCAAAAAAATCGCCAAGTTCTTATAATGTAAAGATTTACCGTTTAAACTTTTGCAGGAAATATTGCTACTCATCGGTGATAATAGAGGTTGACTTTCTTGGTTTAAGAGTCAATTCAATTCCATTGTTGATCGAATCAGTTTCACACTATGACGCTGAGTTCTATAGGAGCCTATATCGCCATTCAGGTATACGCTACTCATCCATGCTTGGCTTACTAACGTACCATAGGTCCGAATCATTGCATATTCATGCATCCAGATTATAAAAAAAAAATCTGATGTGCACACCAAATGACTTCCATGCACGGCTTATTAAACAATGTACATTTTGTACTGTACTTCATTTAACCTTATTTCCTCGATTTTTTTTTAAACTGAATAAACGGACCTTCGAGGCAAATTGAAAATGACATCAAAAATTGGAAATTTTGAAATTAAGTATCCCGGTCAATTTTTGTCGCACGAGAATCAAACTTCTTATAATATTATTTTTTCATAACGAGTGTAAATCTTTCCCGAATATAAGTACAGGAAACGGGAGATTGCATTAAAATTTAAATTTCGTTATTTGTCGAAAAACAATTTTCTTTTACAGTTGACATTGCCCAAACATGAATATTTAAGTAATTTAAAGCCCTTATGTATTTTTAAGTATATGAATGCGACCAGCGATTGTGGAAAAAACAACCCGGATAAGTTGGATGGGTGTTTATACATTTGATATCGCCGATTGCAATACAAATTGCAAAAAAATGGGAGGTGCACAACTAGATGTTATAGCAATCCCGTATGTTAAATTTCAATGTTCTACGGCCGATTGCTTTAGATTTATGAAAAATACATACATGCATACGTACAGATGTCACGAAACAATCCATTTTAAAATCCTTTTACAATCGGTTTTGAAAACAGTGTCCTTTATTCTGTCCGTACGTACAGAAGTCACCATAAGAGTCGTTCAAACGGATTGGCGAGCAGTCAAAATGAATATTTCTGTTGAAATATACCTGAAATTTTACTTCCTTTACTTTGTACAAGGAAATAAAAATTTGACTGTTTGGTTTTTGACAAAGCAAACAGGTACCTTCTTAAGACAAATAAAGCCTTCATGAAGGTCGTTTTAAGTCAAAATGGCTCGTATTCACGTGCCCTTTTGGAAAACAGAGGTCATACTATTCGACCTTTGATGGGATTTGATCATCAAAGGTCAACACTCGATTATATTTAGAAGCTTCCTACGTATCATCTAAATTTTAATCCACTTCCGTCATTTTTAACTTTAAAAAGCTTTTATTAAAACTTACCCCTCTTCAAAAAATGATAATTAAATGTTTCGTATGCTTGTTTCTCCAGTTATGACCTTTCAAAACGGTGCGTAGGAAGCAAAATCGCCATCGCATATTGATAAAACTAAAAGAGCATATTGCCACTAATTTTTATCTAAATTTAGTAATTATCCATGTCTCCACCCATAAAAATAAAGTTTAATTTTATTATTTGAATACGACAAAGCACGCAAAGGGTATCTGCTCAAGGGAAGGGATAACTTCGTGGAGAATTTTTTAAAAGCTGAATCGAATTCATAGTATATATATAGGAAAAACCACGAAAGCCAACCAGGCAGCCAGCCCGTTGGTCTGAGATCGAATACGGGTCAAACTCCAAATATTCAGTGCTCTTAACCACTTCGCTACTAATGGGGTCCCGTGTTAATAAAATTTTAGGATATAAATTATAAATGCATACAACTGAATAATTACTTTTGCTTGTAAAGGGTTTCATTACTTGAATAAATTTTTATGATTTTAACTCAGCAAAGTTTTTTGATAAAAGTAACGTTAATGAACGCGAATGAAACGTTTGTAGAGTCATTAGGTTATTTTTAAAGCAGGAGTGATGAAAAATGAGCAACGCCCTCGCCGGGAATCGAACCCTGGACCGCTGGAATAGGCGTCCAGCGTGCTGAACACTACACTACGAAGGCATGCTAAGAAGGCGGGAGAAACGTTAATGAAACGCTTAACGTTTAATGAAAAAAACGTTGATATAATCACGTTAATTTCGTTAAAATACCGCATTTTTCAACTAATGTTTAACTTTTACTAACATTCTTTTCCTCTAGCTGTTACACACATTATACGATTGTATTCAATGTTATTTAAATATTTATGTTTCTGTCTAAGTAAAAATTTAGAGTCTATAACTTAGCAAATTCCAATTTGTTTGAAAAATTTTTAAGAATTAAATTAAAACTAATTTACGAATGTTTTAGTTTGAAATATTTAAAATTAAATATTTTGTCCTATTTAGATCTAATTAATGTATACTGAAAAGTCATTTATAATGTCAAGAATAAATAGCACTAGAATAACTCTTAACGGTAGAAGCATCAGTAAACAAGCCGGACAAAACTAATATTGAAATGCAGATGAAATTCTTAAAATTCAAGTAAATATTTTTCTAATTGCAAACACTTTAATTTTTCGGCTTAGACTCTAAGCTAACATTATTACATTGCTGTACACATAAGCTTATTAATTAATTTAGCTTTGTTGAACAGCAATACAAAATTCATGACGATTTTAATTTTTATTTTATTAAAAATATGAGTAGATATAGAACTCTCACTTTCTAATAAGATCTCATAACTTATTACCTATAAAATCATCGAAGTTATGAATGTATGTAATTATTTTCTTAGTAGTATTTACATTATTTTTTCATTTTCTTAGTGAATCTTGAAGTACCAAATTTTGTTTATTAAACTAATTATTATTTCGCGCTTCCTAATCTTCCTAATTCCTAATTATTTCGCGCTTCCTAATATTATTAATTTCGCGCTTCCTAATCTTTCCCATCCCAAACGCTGCTCGTTATTAAATTTTGTTTATTAAATAACTTTTCGCGCTTTCTAATCTTTCCCATCCCAAACGCGGTGGAGCAGCAAAGTCACTGAATACTAGTAGTTCGACCTCGATTCGAGTTCGAGCGAGAAGACAGGCTGCATTGGATGTTCTTGTGATTTTCCCCGTTGCAAGGTGGATACGAGCCAGTCTCCCTTCGAATTTCCTCACGAAAGCATCTCTCTCTTCAGGCAGATAAATCTCGTGTGTTGTGCCATAATCAAATAAGCCAAACTAAGGGAACTTTAATATTTCTCTGAACGAAAAACTAACACCCATTTCGTAAGGATAATTTAAAGAGGTTATTATAATATAATTTATATGTATTACATTAGATGAACTTTTTACGAAAACCCAAATATTTTAGATATTACTTAACAAAATTTTCACATGAATAATGTTGTTGAAATAAAATACTTGTCTATTTAACATTTTGCGAAGTAACTTTATAGATGAAATATATTAAATATAGAGTGAAGGTGAGTTTACATATGATATGCAACTTAACTGTGTTAAATTAAAAACGGTCGTAAGCAATAAAGGAAAATAATTTTGAAAATTTGAGAAATATTTATATTTATCAGGAAAAGTGTATTAAATGATAATTAATAAAATACATCTCTAATTAGAAATACATTAATACGATACATTTTCATGAGAAATAATGAACAAGCATGCGTATAAGAAACAAATACACAGTATTTTAACCTTTTATTGAAAAGGCAAATTTCTTTAATGAGTTAAAAACAAAAACAAAACAAAAACAAAAAAAAAAAAAAAAAAACCTCCTTCATACATTTAAAAGCAAAATAAAAATTAGGAATTATTTAAAAAGGTTTCATATTTTTATTAACAACTACTATTTGGAAAAATAATTTTAATCTATAATTTTAATTTAGAATATTTTACGTGTTTATAAATTTAAAAAAAAATTACCTGGAAGAGAAATAAAAATCCATCAGAAAGGATAACCAGATATTAAACAATATCCGATATAAACTCTTTTGAAAACTTTTCGCGCGTAATCTGTAAATGCGTCCGGAGAAAACGAGAGAAAAATTTCGAATGCGTCCGCTCCCCATTCAACGAGGTAAGGCAACGGGTAACACAAGTCAAAGGAGCTTGATTTGGCTCACATTTGAAGTTAACTCGCCAAATTCGCCAACGCGATATAATCTGATGCTAAGAGAATATAAAGTTCGTCAAGAATTCTATACAGAAAAATCTCAAATCCATATTTCGATGCATAACCTCTTCAATACTTGAATTACTTTTACATATGAAGCTAAAAATTATTCATTAATATTTTATGCATTATTTGAAATTTATTCTTCAGAAGAGCATTGTTATCCGGTTAACCGCCAAATTCAAAGTTCGATACTTTTTCTTTGTTTTTTGCTATCTAGCTAAAGGAAAGATTGAAGCTATTACGAGGTAAAAACATTTTATTTAACTATTCTTTTTAAAATATTACATTTAGAAACTCCCATATACTACAGACGCTGTTCATACATTTTTTAAACACTTTGCTTTGTTATAACAAATCGTCTGCTTGGAAAGGATTTTAACTGAAACTATGTTTTTGAAAGTATAAGTTATCGTCTACTACTTGCCAGTTCTGCATTCATTCAAAATGGCGCAATGAATAAAAGACTATGTTTGCGCTCTTTCGAAGAAAATTATTTGTATCTAGTTATTTAAAACTCTGTAAAAGCCATGGCTTTTCGATGTCTAAAGCTACGATATGTAATATTGTTAGCAAGAAAAGAAAAGAACGTCAAAGTTTGGCCTCAAGGAAAAAACGATATGTTTGGAATGTTGCAAAGGTAATATTTTTAATGCTAAAATAAAATCCGTCAATTCAAAGGTTACAAAATCATTAAAATGCACAGCGACAACTCTAGAGAAAGGGATGAATGCTGATTTTAAATTTAAAAGGACGAAAAATCATTATGTGCAACATATTTCTCCACAAGATATCGCCGAACGCAGAATTCTTTCTGAACACATTTATCCGGATAAAAATGGAAAAACGTTGTCAGTAGACGAATCTTAGGTGTATTTAAATGACTGTAATAAAAACAGATTCATTTATAAATGTTAAAGAAGAGTAAAATTTCTTAAAACAGTGTTAAAATAATATAAAGAATTTTTTTCAAAGGAATTGACGATCGTTGCTGTTTTTTCATACAGCGGCAAATTAAAAACAAACACAGAGGAGAAAACTGCTAAGATCAGTTCCGCACATTATCAAGAACACAATTTATGCCCAACTTTCTAATATGAAATAGGTCCTCTCTACCTACAGTATCATCAATGCCAAACAGCATCAAGAGAAAGCCACACGTCAAATTCCTTTTTAATTTCCTGGAAAGTATAAAACAGAAAACGGGTATCAAGGCCATACCCTTCACTTATATCCCTAATTAAATATCCTGACGTATCATCCATGGAATTTTTGTGCTTTTGGATTTTAAAAATATTGTTGAAACGGCAACCAATAACCTTCCTTCAGCTTAGGAAAGCTGTTCAAGAGGAATGGGATAAAATACCTCTTCCATTACTAAAAAAGGATTTATTATCTTGGAAATTACGATGTAGAAAGATTGTGAAGAGTAAGAGTTATCAAACCGAATATTTAAAATACAAAATTTTGCCTAAACAATTCTGTAAGTTTAAAAAAAATAATTAAAAAACTCTGAAAGTTTTCAGATTTTACATTACGTCCAAAGTGACTTTTTTTAAACCTTTTGTGCGTTATTGTTTATTAAATATTCTTTGCACGTAAACCATAAAATTCAATTCAACAGAAATATCTGGAAATAATTTGAAAATGAACATATCTTTAGAATTTCCAGTACACAGTCTAGCGCGCTGGAGATAATTTTTTTCCCCTGTACAGTGTTGCCATTGCTCGCTTTGAAATCTTTGAGTTTGTTAATCAAGAATTCGTTAAAGTTTTACAAAAGATGAAATAGAGAATAAAACGAATTCCAAATTCCAAATCTGGGCTTCGAGATACTCATATTTGAGTGGAGGACTACGTTATACAGAATTGGATGTCTCCATGTACCGTTGGTTTTTCACAGTGCGAGAAACATACATACATTCTTGCAGATTCTTCATTATTTAGTTTCTTTAAATATAATACATGGCGGTAATGTCTGCTGGTAACAGTTTGAAATGTGAGACTAACAACCATTTGGATCTAACGCTCCTTTGAGCTAATAAGCTGAAAATTACTTTTGCAGTAAAAAAATCATAATTGAACGTACTAGAAAAGGGGTTCAAAATTTTACATTTTTTTCGTAAAACTAAAGATGATTGATAATCATTTGATCACTTAGAGAGCAGATTTGGAAAGCTGATAGTTTTACACTTCGGTTAAAAGTTTAGTGAGAGTCATTACTTCATTTTTAAATTTCAGTAAGGGTCATTATTATCGCTTTTATGGGATTAGGAAGCAGAACATATTTATCAGCATAAAAATCGCAAAGGAAAATGAAGTGAGAACATCAAGGTAGAAATTTTCTGCCTGATTTATTTATTAATGTAAGTTACCTCATTAGCCTGTTCACTTCTGAAGATAAATTTACTTACGTCATTCTAAAACAACTTTCTTTTATGATTATCTTCATAATATTGATGCACTTTAATGTGTAAGACACAGTGAATACTATTTTAGCTTTTATTTAAAGTTCAGCGTTGGTAAATCAAATGCAAAATTAATTATCCTAAAATCAAATCAAACAAACTGAAATGAAAACTAGTGGTACTATTCTATACGTAAAATCAACAACTAAAATGAATGGATTTATCGAACCAGCAGAATTATTACCTCAAACAAACGTCAGCCAGAAAGTGATATTACGCTCGAAACGAAATTTTGTGTCGTTCACTATAAACTGTATTACTTACTCAAATTGTTACCACGAAATATTGTCGACCTCTATTATATTTAAAGAAATTAAATAATGGCGAATCTGCTTGTATTTACCTCGTATTGTGAAAAGACGACGGTAAAAGCTTACAACCGAAAACATCAAAGCAAAAACATCGCGATCGGTCGCGGAGAAAACAA